GTCAGATGTACAGCAGCATCAAGTCGACTCTTGAGTCTCATCCAGCCTCAGCCCCATGGCTCACACTGTCTTGTGTGACTCCTGGGTGCCTCAAGGTCTTCCTCAGGTAGAATCCTGAGGCCCTCTGGCCAGGAACTGTATTTCCCAAGTCCTCTGGGACATGCTGTGTACCATCAATGTCCAGATGTCTTCAGCCCACATTCTCTCATGGTTTTGTTTGTTTGTTTTTGGTTTTGTTTTTTCAAGACAGGGTTTCCCCGTGTAGCCCTGGCTGTCCTGAAACTCGCTCTGTAGACCTGGCTGGCCTTGAACTCACAGATCTGCCTGCCTCTGCCTCCCAAGAGCTGGGATTTAAGGCATGTGCCACCCCTGCCTGGCCTCTCATGTATTTTAAATGGGATTTTCCGTTTTCTGGCTGTTTAAGTCTCTGTCCTTTTTCTCCTAATCCCTCAAGGATGCTCTCGTTTATTCTTCCTTTTCTTTCTCTAAAATGTGTGATTTTCCCCAGCTCATGATTTGCTACCAGTCATTCTTGGTTTTGACATCCTTATACACAGAGACATTTACAGTATTGGAACCTCAGCCAGTGTGAGCAGGATGGGTTCCCACTGGGGAACAGCCAGAGCCAGAAGACGCTGGGGTCTCAACCAACATTTCTCCGAGCCTGAAGTCCAGCCCATCACTTCCCTCCTCAGAAGCCTCGCCCGCCATGCTGCCCCACCCTGGCTCCTGGCTGGTCTGGATGTGGTTAACAAGCAAGCCAAAACAAGATGCTGGCTAATCCCTAGTGGGGGCACCTAGACCCAGGAGGCATGGGCCCATCTTAGAAGCCAGGGTAAAATCTACATGTGGGTGAGGGCCATGTGGTTTTGCTTTCAGGGATTTCAAGAGGAAAGGAGGTACTCCCTCAGCACCTGCCACTCTGCTCTCCCCGCCCCCAAATCTAGTGAACGAGAAACATCTAAACGGGCTCCCCAGGAGCTGGCCCGCTCCCTTGGCCAGGGTTTACACCCTGCTACTTTGGATACTCTAAATTCAAACCGTAGGAGGCTGCCAAGTGCCACTCGCTAGCCGGGTCCAGCACCTGCTGTGTGTCGGTGGCTGTCCTTGGTGTGGCTACGGCTGAGTTGGAGCTAAGAGCGCCTTGCCAGCTGGAGTCAGACACCAGGTGAGACAGGGCACCGAAAACAGCTGTGCTGCCAGCTGCTGTCCCAGTGTTCACAATAAGTTGCTTTTGTCCAAGCACCGTGGCACGGGTGCCGTGTTGGCCCCGGTTTGCCGACGAGGGGATGGAGGCAGAGAGGGATGTTGTTGCTGCCACACCAGGCTATAACCCCAAGAGATCCGAACCTGGAACCCATAACCAATCTGTGCAGTGTGGGTCTGATGACAGTGAGGAGCACATAGAAAGAGGGCAGGACGGGGTTGGGGATTTAGCTCAGTGGTAGAGCACTTGCCTAGCAAGCGCAAGGCCCTGGGTTCGGTCCTCAGTCCTGGAAAAAAAAAAAAAAAAGAGGGCAGGACTCAGCAGGAGAGGAGAATGTGCTTCTGGGGGAGCGGGGGCGGGTAAGGGGTGTGCACAGACACATCTGTGTTACATACACTGTGCTAGCCTCTCTGTGTGTATATCTGCATGCATGCAAAAATGGACGTGTTTGTACATGTGTGCTTGTGTGTGTGTAGACTGTATGGGTATGTGTGCGTGCCTGTCTGTCTGCGTTTTTGTGTGCTCACATGTGTGTACATACATATGTGTCTCTACACGCTATGTGCCTATATGCCTGTGTACCTGTGTCAGCACCATTTTGTGTTTCTGTGCAGGTGTGTGTATGCACTTCTCTGTGTGTGGGTGCCCATGTGAGCGTTGGGGAAACTTGGTTGTCCCCCTTCTGGGAGGTTGGCCCCGCAGCTGGAAGCAGAGGCTCCCAAGAAATCTTATCTGGAGGCTGTGGCTACCATGCGGCTGCTGCCGCTCCGTGCCTCTCAGGCTGTCTTGCCCCAGTCTCCCCAGGTCCTGGATCATGGCCCTCTCAGGCTTCGTCTGAGGTGGGAGGGAGCATGGAGCACCGTCATGGCAGTGACGAACAACAGGAGCATTTGGGGGACACCCCCTGTGCTGCATCCGTGACAGGCTAGCTCAGCCCACCCCTGGTCCTGGAAGTCTTCACAGCTGCGGGGCAGGGGACAAGGAAGCAATGTGACCAGGATCACTGTATCCAGACATGGAGGTGGCTCACCTGGGCACACTCCCATGGCAGAGTCACACATGACTTCTCTTTTGTTCTTTGAAAAAGACTCTTGCGAGGCTTGTATGTCACTTCCTACATGAGGAAACCAGTCATTTCACAACCTCATCACTAGAGAACTGGTGTGGCCATCAGGCCCTGAAGGGGCTTTTAGTCCCAAGCAGCCCGGGGCCTCCTGCAGGGGCAGCAGTTCACCACTGAGCACATGGCTGAGATGTGGATGTGGCCTCTGCCTGGTTCAGGAAGGAGGAAAGAGCAGGGACCTACCGAAAAGAGATCATCACAGAGGCTTTGGTACGTAGGGGTCTGAGGGATCAGAGTTCCATCAATTCCTGCCACTTCCTGCCTCAGTTTCCCCACCTAGGCTCCGGCTGCAGAGAGGAGTCTGTGCCAGCCACAGACTGAGCACCCTAGTACTGGTCTGGGGCCTCACTTCCTTCCCTTTTTCCTGCCCTCTGCTCACAGCATGAACTAAGACTTAAGTAATCCTGTAACTGTCTGCAGGATCACGGGCTACAGCAGCTGGCACCTGAATCAAGGAAGCTCCTGCATCCTTGATGCCAGCGAGACATGGGGGAAAGTGAAGAGACCAACCAAGGCTCTCCAGCCAATGCTGGACTTATTCCCTCCACCCCAGCCCCATCCAAATCATGATGCTCAGCAGCAGACACCTTGTCTCTCTGACATGGCCACAGGAGTGCTCATCCCTCCCGGTTCCTCAGAGGACTTGTTATTCTCATGGGAGACCGTCCCCAGAGGTCTCTATCCCAGCTCTGCCATTCACACAGAGGTGCCTGGTCTCCAGCTTTATCATCGTGCATCTCACTGCTGGAGTCCTCCTCCTCCTCCTCCTCCTCCTCCTCCTGCCCTTCCTGGGCTCCGTTTCTCCCTCCCTCGTCCCTCTTAACAAACCCCGAGCTGGCCCCAAACATGGCTTCATGCCCCTGCAGTTCATGCTTAAAGCTAAATCCAGGCTGGGGTGAGGGCTCAGTGGGAAAGAACAATTACCACCAAGCCTGATAACCTGAGTTCAACTTCCTGAACTTACATGACAGAACAAGAGAACCAGCTCCCTCAAGTTGTCCTCTGCCCCTCCACCCCAGGACTACAGCACACATGGAGAGAGATAAGAAAAATGTTTAAAAAAAATAAAATTAAAATAGAGTAAATAAACCCAAAGCCAAAGGGGCTGAATCAGTGCTGTGAAAGGGTACCCCAGCAAGAGAATTGGTATCATGCCAATGTGGAGCTGCTCCCTGTGTCTGTCTGGGACCAGCACCTTGCAGCAGCTCTGTCCTTGTTAAAGCATCTTTATACAGTATCATCATCTCATTGAAAGGACCCCAGGGACAGAAGTCACATTAGCCAATGCTCACCAGCATCTCCCTCTTGGTAGACATCAAGAAATCCGTGTTAGAAAGGTGGGTGGGTGGGGCACGGTATTTTAGGCAGGGTTCCCTAGAGGACTGGAACCAACAGGGGTTGGGGAGCTGGGGAGCCCAACCTTTGCTACTGCACCCTGAGAGAATGAGGACCTAGCAGCCATTCAGTCCTCAAAGCTGGATGCTGCTGCATGCCCAATCTAGCACTGAAGGTCTAGACTGTTCCTGGAGAGTTGCCGGTCTCCAGTCCATGTTGGAAGGTGAAAGGAAGCGGCTGGAGTCTGGTGTTAGCAGAGGATGGCAGCAGAGACAGCAGTGGACTGATCCTTCAACCAGCGACAAGGGGACAGGCAGGAGAGAGTGAACAGGAAGGAAGGGACGGACAGGAAGGAAGGGACGGACGGGAAGGAAGAGATGGACAGGCCGGAGAGGGTGGACAGGCACAAGGGGGTGGACAGGCAGACAGGAAGGAGCAGACAGGCAGGAAGCGGCGGACAAGCAGAAAGGGGTGGACAGGGAGGAAGGGGCGGACAGGAAGGAGGGTACTGCTGCATTTTCTTTGGATGCTTTCTATCTGGCCCCCCACAGGACCATGTCCCCATACTGAGCGAGGGCTGTCCCCTTTCAGTTAATCCATTTTGGCACACGCCTTTAATCCCAGCACTCGGGAGGCAGAGCCAGGCGGATCTTTGTGAGTTCGAGGCCAGCCTGGTCTACAGAACGAGATCTAGGAAAGTCACCAAAACTACACAGAGAAACCTTGTCTCGAAAAAAACCAAAATAAAATAAAATAAAACCTCATAGCCCACCTCCCAGTGACACACCTCCTCCAACAAGGCCACACCTCCTAGTCCTTCCCAAATAGTTCCACCAACTGGCGACCAAGTATTCAAATCTATGAGCCTGTGGGGGCATTCTCATTCAAACCACCACAGTGAGTAAATGGATGTGAAAGCTGACGTTGGATGCAGAGCTGGCAAGAGTTCTGCTCGAAGTCCAAACCCTTCCTGCTTGTCTGGAAGCGGGTGTGTGTGTGTGTGTGTGTGTGTGTGTGTGTGTGTGTGTGTGTGGTGTGTATGTCTGTGCCTTCTTCCTTCACCCATACCGCACAGCATGGTTGCCTTTTTTTTTTTTTTTTTTTTTTTTTTTTTTTTTGGTTTCAAACTGTATGGCCGTGGCAGGCTTCTTGCTAACTGTTCTTACAGCTTAAATTAATCCATTTCTATTAATCTATACCTTGCCACGTGGCTTGTGGCTTACCGGTACTTTACATCTTCCTTATCCTGATGGCGGCTCGCAGTGTCTCCCTCCCTCAGCCTTCCACTTCCCAGCTCTATTCTCCTCCTTGTCCCGCCTATACTTCCTGCCTGGCCACGGGCCAATCAGTGATTTATTCATTGACCAATCAGCAACACATTTGACATACAGACCATCCCACAGCACCTCCCCTTTTCTTTTCTTAAAAAGGAAGGTTTTAACCTTTACACATCTCCAAAGTCAGCTTGGTATATTTGGGAATTTGGGCGTAGCTTCTCTTACTACTTCCTGCTGGAGGGGGGCGATGTATCTTCTGGGGAAACAAAGAAAATTTTAGGATCATGGAGTAGTCCGTGAGGCTGTATCATCTGAGCCAGTTGCCTTGAAACGGTTCTGGATGTTGGATCATCTGGGCCATGGTGTCATCGGAGACCTTTCAGGTGGTCTTGGCTGGTCAAACCTGATGTGTCTTAATCTGGAACAAATCCATAGCCTCTGGCTTTCTGTGGAAACAAAAGCAGAGTCTCCTTTCCAAAGTAACATATCCTTATATCCAAATTTTGAAGTCAAGGTACCTTTAAAATATACATTTTGGCATAACTCAACAGCTTTTGTAATCAAATGTTTTTCTTCAGTTACGAATATCAAAGAGAACATAATCCAGATTCTTTGTGTGGTAGCCATCTTTACGTGGCTTATTTTTTTTTTTTAAGAAAGGAAGAAAGAAAGGAAGGAAGGAAGGAAGGAAGGAAGGAAGGAAGGAAGGAGAGAGAGAGAGAAAGAAAGAGAGAGAGAGAGAGAGAGAGAGAGAGAGAGAGGAAAGGTCGTGGAATACGTATGACATGAAAGCAGAGGAAGGCATTATTGGGGGAGGAGAAAGCATGGTTGCCTTTTATTGATGTACATGCCCACGACCCCCACACTTGTGCCCTGTCCCATCCTTTCACGAGCTTCAGCAGCTTCCACAGGTATTTCTCCTGGACACTTCTGTGGGGTCTGTTCCATGGCTATGCAGCGCAGACATCTTCAATACAGGAGAACTCCACACAGGCAGAGCCCCTGCTGCCGTCAGCACAAAGCGATCAATGGCCTCCTCTTTAAACTCGTGTTTTCGAAGTCTTGATGGGACAACGGTATGATCCGTTTGCTGGTGTCCGGTCCCCGCAGTGTTCACTATACCTCGTGAGCATAGAACTCCAGCAGACCCCTGGGATCTAAAAAGATGTCATGAACGACACCAATATGGGAGAGTGAGATTTACACAGCTCCTCCATCGTTCTTCTGAGATGGGAAGACATTTGCTCATGAGAGGAAAGCAGAAGAGAGAGAAGAAGGGGCAGAGTTTTACGTCAGGACGAAGGACGTCACCAAGGGGCAGGATTTCAAGGGGGCGGATCAGAATATTAGTAATGGTAACATACACTTTTAATCCCAGCACTCGGGAGACAGAGGCAGGTGGATCTCTGTGGGTTCAAGGCCAGCCTGGTCTCCTGGGCAGCGGTGGTGCATGCCTTTAATCCCAGGACTCGGGAGGCAGAGCCAGTCAGATCTGGTCTATAGAGGGAGATCCAGGACAGGCACCAAAACTACACAGAGAAACCCTGTCTCAAAAAACAAACCAAACCAAACAAACAAACAAGGGCAGCCTGGTCTACGGAGTGAGTTCCAGGACAGTTAGGGCTGTGTAGAGAGACCATGTCTCAAGAACAAAGTTCAAGTTCTTCCTAAGCTACATATTGAGTTCAAGTCCAGCCTGGGACATATGAAAGTTATTTATTTACTGATGTCATTTATGGGGCATGAGGAACAAACCATGAGGCACAACAAAACCCATTTTAAAGTTTATTAGGGAAGGGAGAAAGATGGGCGTGAGTAGGCCTACCAGAGAGAACGTGTGTGTGTGTGGGGGGGAAATGGGTGGAGTCTGTTTTTAAGGGTCACCTCGAGCATGTGTATGGGAGCTCACATAGCTACGCCACACATGCGCATAGATTACGTGACCACACTGTGCCCAGATTACATTGGACATAAGGCCCTGGAGTGACTAAGTATTTTGCCTGACTGATGACAGCGCAAGCACAGTCATGTGACTCCAGAAGCGGCTAAGAGGGTGTCAGGAATAATAACAATGAGGCTTTGTATCATTCAGTCAGTCAGTCAACCAATGAAACTGTCATCACATACTACAGAGATAGAATCCGTGTGAATGATTTGACATGACATGAGATAAGAATAAAAGCATGACGTCAGACATGATGGCATGCACCTGTAATCCCAGAACTCAAGATATGAGGGCATGAGAAGAGCAAGTTCAAGGCCAGCCTAAGCTACATGAGACCCTGTCTTAAAACAAAACAAAACAAATAACAATTACACACACACACACACACACACACACACACACACACACACACACACATAAGCTAAAAAGACTCACTATGACAGGTCAAGAAAAGAGGATGAGACAAGGCCTGTCTGATTCTCCAGGCCCTGCTCTCAGGCACCCCAGGAGTCTTCCTAATGTTTGACCATCAGCCTTTTTTCACACATAACAGACCAGTCCTGGTATCTTTGTTCATTCTTTTTCACACTCACTGGTTCATCCAGCCATTCACTCAGAATCACAGACATCCCACCTTTAGCAGGCCCTGGGACAAGTCACGAATCAGGCCAAGGATGTTGCCAGCCGGGCCACAGCAAGACAGTGAGGAAGAGAGACAGGGCTTGGGTCCCAAATGCCCTGGTAGGAGCTTCCTGTCATTATCAAGAACAACAAAACAAATAGCAAATCCCTTTCCCTCCTTGTGCCTCAGTCTCCTCAACTGAGACACAAGAGAAAACTAATTGCATCCTGGAATCTCCGAGCTCCCCTCACCTTGCCCAGGAGATCTCTTGGTCCTTCAGCAGAAGATAGTACCATGCCCCCTAGAGGACTTCAGAGAAATGGCGGGGCTAGGCGATGGTATCATGCCCCCTAGAGGACTTCGGGGAAATGGCAGAGCTAGGCCCCAACCTTGTTTCTCCTTGAAGAAAAAGTTTGTGTCTTCCCTGGGGCAGATGGGAGCTTCACTGCTGAAGTCTCTGAAGGTCATGCAGTGATATCTTGGCACTCAAGGCATTTTGCCTCCAGGGGAATACCACACACATAGGCAGTGCAAACACATGTAGGAAGCAGCAGAGTGGGTGTTATTTATTAAGTGGCGCAATGTTATTCATTAAGCAGCGCTGTTTACCATGCGAGAAAAGCCACAACAGAATCCACTATAAGAATTTATTAAGGGAAGGGAACAGAGGGGCATGCTAAGGCCTATGGAAAGGTCGTGCAGGAAGAGAGAGGAGGGATATGTGGAACCCGTTTTTTATAGGTTCCCCCTGCACATGCACATATGTGCTTACGTCACTACGCCATGCGTGTGCATAGATTGCATGATCGTGCTGCGCACTAAGCCTCTTGCTTGGCTACTGGACAGCGCATGTGTGGTCATGTAGCCGGAGGAGTGGCTAGGAATTATAACAGTGGGCACATGGAGAAGGCTGCCACTGAGTAAACAAACCACAGAACTGGGGAGGCAAAGGAGTCAGGATCGAAAAAAGTTCCAGGCTAGCCTGGTCTACATAGTGACTAACAGGCTAGACAGGGCTCCACAGGGAGATCCTGTCTCCAAACAACAGAAAAGGCTCAGGGGTAATAGCCCTTGTGGCCAGTTGTAAAGATCCGACTTCCGTCCCCAGGACTCATGTGGTGGGAAAAGAGCACTGACTCTTGTAAGTTGTTCTCTGGCCTCCACGCACACACAGTGGCATGGTTCCCCCTCCAAATAAACAAATAAATGTGACTTTAAAAATCTGATCAGGAGGCAGAGGCAGGTGGATCACTGACAGCTGAAGGCTAGCCTGGTCTATATAGTGAGTCCCAGGTCAGCCAGGTCTATGTAGTAAGACCCTATTCTAAAAATAATAATAATAATAATAATAATAATAATAATAAATTACATTAAAGTTTTTTATTAAAAATTAAACAACAGTGTGTGTGTCTGACCCTAAGGTGAGTTCCGGCCTGGAAGGAGGGCTGCCCGCTCCCTGCTGTGCAGGCTCCAGCTCTGAGCTGCTGGGAAACAGCCTGTTGCTCCCAGCCCTCAGACTGCCCAAGGGTTTCAAAGAACAACCCAGGAGTCCCGGCTGATTATTCAAGTAAGAGCTCCAACCCTGGACAGTAACAGCACATCAGAGATGACACCCCTGCCCCCACCCCCGCACCCCCTACACACACACACTCTCACACACACATTCACAGTGTGTGTCACCACACAAGCATCAGGCTGTTCTCTGCTGTGCTACCATTGTTAACTGGTAATGGTGTGTGTGTGTGGTGCAGAGCGAACAGCTGTGCGATTTGGTTGCTCTATGGATACAGTGAAGCCGCTCCAAATTCGGGTGACTTCCGTACAGACACTGACAGTGACTGAAGTTCATAGGAACCAGAAAACCCCTGAAGAGAAGAAGAAAAAGAAATTGGGGGAATTCAGGGCTGGAGAGATGGCTCCGTGGTTAAGAGCACTTACTGCTCTTGCAGAAGACCTGGGTTCTATTCCCAGCACCCAACATGACAGCCACCTGTAACTCCAGTTCCAGGGGATCTGACATCTGACACCTGACTGACCTCGGCCAGCTCCTGCACACAGGTGGTGCATGTACCTACATCACACACACATACATATAAAATAATTTTTTTTAAAAAAAAGTTGTTTTGAAAAATGTTAAAAATTGTGGATTTCACACTTCCTTATTTGTAAACTGACTGCAGGGCTTGGGGGGATGGCTCAATCTGTAAAACCACCTGCTGAATCAGCAGGAGGACGTGAGTTCAGTTCCCCAGCACCCATGTGAAAAACTGCAGTGTGGTGGGACACAACCGTAACCTCAGCACTGGGGCAGGAAGGACACAGGCAGACCCCGGAGTGCACTGGCCTGCCAGTCTAGAGCCATCAGTGAGTCCCACGTTCAGTGAGGGATTCCACCTCAAAAATAAAGGGGAGCATGACAAAGCAAGACATCTGATGTCCACCTCTGGCCTCCACACACATTCACAGAGAGAGACCCAGCTATAAAAAAATTACTACAAAGCTACTGCACAGACTGAGTGGTAAAGAAATAGATGGATGGGATAGAATTCTAAATCGGGCGGGGCACACGCCTTCAATCCCATCACTCAGGTGGCGGAGACAGGTGGATCTCTGTGTGTTTAAGGCCAGCCTAGTGTACACATGAAGTTCCAGACCAGTCAAGGCCTTATCTCAGAAACAACAACAAAAGAATTCTAGGTCAAGTCAGAATTAAGTTTTTTGATTTTGTTTTTTTGTTTGTATGGTTGGGTTTTTTTTTTTTTTTGGTTTTTCGAGACAGGGTTTCTCTGTGTAGTTTTGCGCCTTTCCTGGAACTCACTTGGTAGCCCAGGCTGGCCTCGAACTCACAGAGATCCGCCTGGCTCTGCCTCCCGAGTGCTGGGATTAAAGGCATGCGCCACCACCGCCCGGCTGTTGTTGTTGTTTTGAGACAGGATTTCTCTGTGTAACAGTCCTGGCTGTCCTAGAACTTATTCTGTAGACCAGACTAGCCTCAAACTCACAGAGATCAGCCTGCTTTTGCCTCCTGAGTGCTGGGATTAAAGGCACATACCACCACCACCGCCTAGCTCAGAGTTACGTTCTTATTGAGTTAAGTCAGCAAGTCTATTGATCTTTGACAAAGGTAGCAACAGGGGCGAAGAGTCTTTTCAACAAATGTACTGAGACAACTCGGCATGCAAATGAACGAAGCTGAACTCCTATTTCACACTACGTACCAAACAAACAAAAGTCTCAAAATAGATCTAAGACAAATACAAAAGCAAAAACTGGGGTATTCTAAGAGGAAAACGGGTGAATCTTTGTGACCGGAGGCTTTGGCAATGGCTTCTTGCAAATGATAGCAGAAGCTCAGGCAACATGAAGGAAACACATAAAGAAAGCTGGATTCCATTAGGAGTAGAAACTGTGCACTGGGGATGTGGATCAGCTGGTAGTGTGGTGTCCTGTATACACGTAGCCCTTGGCTTGACCTCCAGCACCACACAGGTACGGTAGTGCAGTAATTGCAATACTTGGGAGGCAGGAAGATTGCAAATTCCAGGCCAGCCTGGGATACATAGTAAGATCCTGTCTCAACCCCCTCCCCC